CATGGATCCCCCCTGTGCCCCATCCCCACCTTGTCCCCCAGCCCAGAGCACTGAGTGCCACGGCCAGGCCTGCCTTGGACACCTGCAGGGCTGGGCACTCCAAACCTCCCTGGGCAGCCCCTGCCAAGGCCTGACCACCCTTTCCAGCAACAAATTCCTCCTCCTGGCCAACCTGAGCCTCCCCTGGCATAGCTGGAGGCCGTTCCCTCTCCTCCTGTCCCTGTTCCCTGGGAGCAGAGCTGGCTCCACGCTCCTGTCAGGGACAGTCCCTGTCCTACAGTGACACCCGTACAGTGACACCGAGCCCTGTCCTTCAGTGACACCCAGCCCTGTCCCGTACAGTCACACGCAGCCCCCAGAGCGCGGCTTCTCCCCCACCCGCGCCTTCCACCGGCTGGGACTCGCACCGTTTCCCAGCACGGACAGAACCGCGGGGCAATAACGCCCCTGGGTGCCCTGCAGGCACCCCGGGCTGTCCCTGCCGTCCCCACAGGGCACACCCGCTCCGGGGCTCTCGGTTCCTCACGGCAGCGGCGACCCTGCCGGCTCAGGCGCCCCTGGCTCCCGCCTCGCCCGGGGCACCGCCACCCCCTTCCCCGCGGCGAGGCGGGACCGGGAGGTCGCTCCGTCCCTCCGTCCGTCCCTCCCTCCGGCCCCGGCGGACTCACCGCAGAGCAGGAGCCCGACGAACATCGCGCCCCTGAGGGCGGCGGCCATGGCGGGTCCCGGCGCCTCCCTCAGCAGCGGCGGGGCCGCCGCGCCATTCCTGCGGGAGCGGGGCCGCCCCGAAACCCTTCCGCTTCCCGGCGGGGCGGGGCGGGCCGGGCCGGGCGGGGGTCACCCGGGACACCGGGCGTTCCCTTGGGACACTGGGGCTGCTCCCTCAGGCACCGGGGGGTCCCCCTCACACACCGGGACTGCTCCCTCACACACCGGGGCTGCTCCCTCACACACCGGGACTGCTCCCTCACACACCGGGGCTGCTCCCTCAGGCACCGGGGGTTCCCCCTCACACACCGGAGCTCCCCCTCACACACCGGGGCTGCTCCCTCAGGCACCGGGGGTTCCCCCTCACACACCGGGGCTGCTCCCTCAGACACCGGGGCTGCTCCCTCAGGCACCGGGGCTGCTCCCTCAGGCACCGGGGGGTCCCCCTCACACACCGGGGCTGCCCCAACTCCGCACCCGTGCGGGTCACCCCAGCCTTTCCCGAGCCCCGTTCCCTTGCCCAAGGCTCGTGGCCAGCCCCTGGACGCCGGGCGGGAGCGGGGAGCTGGGGGTTGCTGATACGGCGTGTTATCTGCAGCTCTGAGGCCTGGCAGCGGGGATAGGAGAGGGGAGGTCAGCATGAAGTGGATAAATAAACAAAACATAAACAGACACTGAGTCAAACCTGATGTGGAACGAATTTCCCACTGCAAATGTTTCCCGAGGAGAGCTTTGCCTTCTACCTGCAGGGTCTGGACTACACCAAAGATGCCCACACCACTACATAGAGAACCATGGAGTGGTTTGGGGTGGGAAGGACCTTAAAGATCATTTAATTCTACCCCCTGCCATGGGCAGGGACACCTTCCACCAGCCCAGGTTGATCCAAGCCCCGTCCAACCTGGCCTGGGACACTTCCAGGGATCCAGGGGCAGCCACAGCTTCTCTGGGAACCCTGTGCCAGGGCCTGCCCACCCTCCCTGGGAAGGGTTTTTTCCCAATTTCCCCTCTTTCAGTTTGAACCCATCACTGCTTGTCCTGTCACTGCAGTGCCTGATGAAGAGAACTTCTACCAGAACATCCACCCAGCAAAGGGAAGGGAGGGGCAGTTTTATTATTCAGGGTAAGAAAGGGCTCTTCCTCAAGCTATTACTGAAAATACCAGTTTTCTGTCGGGGTTTAATCCATTTGCCAACCATGGCAGCCAGAAACTGCTTGTGGGCAAAAAAGTAGGACCTAAGAGATCAACACAAAGTGGATTTTTTTCCAGCTATGCAATAGCTAAAACCCCTTACACAAGGAGTTGGGTAGTAACAGGCTAACTCAGATTTTCTAATGCAAGTAGAAGCCACAGAAAAAACTCAGGCAGGAATATGAAAAAAGTCCTATTTATGAAGTGCAAATGTTAAGTAGGACTGTACAGCATGGGAACTTTTAAATGCCATAAAAATATCTTAACGGTATTCAATACTTGCACAAAATTATATAAAAAATGTATTTAATGCCTCGATTCACTCTTTTGTAAGTATTGTAAGTAATATCTGAATATCTGCCCTTCGTTATTTCCCTTCATCTGCTTTCTGTACAAAAATACAGCAAAGCAGGTTTCAGAGAAATCCAGTGACAGAGCTAAAGAAAAAAAAAACCTGAAAAAGTGATCTCGTTGAGAGACCACCCTTCCAGCAGCCCAGGCTGCTCCAAGCCCCATCCAACCTGGCCTTGGACACTTCCAGGGATCCAGGGGCAGCCACAGCTTCTCTGCCCAACCTGTGCCAGGGCCTGCCCACCCTCCCAGCCAGCAATTCCTTCCCAATCTCCCATCTCTCCCTGCCCTCTGGCAGTGGGAAGCCATTCCCTGTGTCCTGTCCCTCTATCCCTTGTCCCCAGTCCCTCTCCAGCTCTCCTGGAGCCCCTTTAGGCCCTGCAAGGGGCTCTCAGGTCTCCTTGGAGCCTCCTCTTCTCCAGCTCTGTCTGTAGGGCAGGTCCACACTCACAGAACGTTGATAAGAAGACAAGATCTGCATGTTTAGTCCAGAAATAAAAGTTGGACAATACTGACGCGTATGCTGTAAAGTATCAGTGGCTCTCCCCTATTCACCTCCTCCTCATGTATCCCGATCCTTGGTCCGTGTCTGACTCGGATGAGTCGCTTTCCTCCTCTGAAGGAAAGTTCTGCCATTCCTGGCAGTCATCAGCACCCGGTGCTTTCTGCACAGTGTCAGCCTCTGCTTCCAGGGCATGGGCACACTGCCAGTGCCCCTCGTGCTGTGGGGCAGGCAGAGCCGCTGCAGGGCTGTCCCCGCGCTCCTCCAGGCTCCCCAGCAGCACGGTCTGCAGGTTGATGGTAAAGCAGGTGCTGCTTTGCCTGGCAGGGTAGTGACAGCTGAGCTCGGGGAAGGGGCTGAGCAACTCCCCACCCAAGTCTGTGTCTCCTGCCAGGTCCTGGTCTCCTGCCAGGTCCGTGTGCTCCTCAGCCCCCGCTGGCTCAGGGGGTGCGGGGTCAGTGGCCTGGGTGGCCTCACAGGGCCTGTTCTCTGAGTACTGCACGTGGGGGGTGCCAGGGACAGGGGGGGCTCTGCTCAGCACCTCCCTCCTCGTGTAGTTGTGGTCCCACGGGGCGCTGCTGTCGCAGTCCTCGCTGTCGCTGTCACTGCTGCTGCCACCGCACCCGCCGGCCTTGGCTTTAACCTCTCTGGGGATGACCTCCACAGAGTCCACTTCTTCTGATGGGAATATCCAGGACAGGTAGACCAACCTCCTGATGGACTCCTAAAGGAGTAAATGGAATTAAAAGCATCAGCCAAACCCGCAGATGTGCACAGGAAAACATGGGCAACAACACCCCCAGTCATGAGGTGGTCAAAACAAATGATTCCTTCTGTGCCATGTTTTGGGGGTTTTCCACAGAGTTCAGGGCATTTAGGATTGTTCCCTCTTCTCCATTCCTGAAAATCACAGAATCCCAGACTGGTTTGGGTTGGAAGGACCTCAAAGCCCATCCAGTGCCACCCCTGCCATGGGCAGGGACACCTTCCACCAGCCCAGGTTGCTCCAAGCCCCATCCAACCTGGCCTGGGACACTTCCAGGGATCCAGGGGCAGCCACAGCTTCTCTGGGCAACCTGTGCCAGGGCCTGCCCACCCTCCCAGCCAGCAATTCCTTCCCAATATCCCATCTGACCCTACTCTGTTTCAGTTTAAAGCCAAAACACGACAGCCTTCACTACAAATCCAGGCACACTGGGCAGCCACAGAAACAAATGACAATAGTGCCAATGTCAGGTATGTAATGATTTAATTCTAATTTCTGAGGTCTC